GGAAGGAAGGAAGGAAGGAAGGAAGGAGTAGATGATAGAATAGATTATGGAAGGAAGGAAGGGAGGGAGGGAGGAAGGAAGGAAGAAAAGAAAAGAAAAAAGAAAAGAAAAGAAAAAAAAGAAAAGAGAAGAGAAGAGAAAAGAAAGAAAAGAAACCAAAACCCAACAGATGGGGATAATGGCCCCAGCTGCAAATATTAACAAAAACTCAAAGAACTCAAATTCGTTGCCCTGAAGTCAGAACCAATTCGTAACTGGCCCTCCAGTGGATTTTGAGAGGTTGTAAACTGTATGGGAGGAGAGTGCTCATTTTTGTCCTGCAGAGCAGCTGGTGGATTCAAACTGCCCAACTCTGGGTTGACACTGCAACTCCTTAACCAGTAGGCCACCAGAGCGCCCCCTGGCCCCAGAACCAAACCTACTTCCATCAGTCAATAGAAATCATGGGGGGTCCGTCATGGACACCAGGGGAGGTAGAGTAGAAATGAGTGTATGTCACTGGGTCCTGCATGTTCAGCGCCCCCTGGAGTCCAGTGAGCATTAGGGCAGCTGAGAAATCGCCACTCTGTGGAGTGGAGAACCCCAGGGAGCAGTGACCTGCAGGAAGTTTAATCCTGGGTCTGGGGCATGACAGAAGGCCTTTATGATGCTGGCCATGTGTCTGGTGTGATTGCCGTCTCTACCGTCATAGGTTAATTAGAGTGGATCCCCGTGTTTGCATTCATCTGGTAATTGGGGTTCCCCTTCCCCTGTTTGTTTGAACTTTAAAATTAAATGACAGGATAGAGTCATTCCTTCCTGCAGCCTCCTCAGCTTCGGGCCAATGGAGGAAGTGATAAAAACAACAGACTGGGCTGGAGACAGTTGAATAGGCTCAACTATTTCATGTTTCTCGTGATCCAGCCCTCTGTCAGTTTGCAGAGGGCGAAGCCGGGTCCTTTGGTTTAAATGCGAGGACACGGGAATCAGGCAGTGCTGCATTTGAGTTCCTAATTCAGCCAATTCCTGACCAGGAGATGCTGGGAAAGGCCCCATGTCTTTAGAGCCTCGGTTTCTTCAGCAGAAAATCACAGGATTGATGAAAATCACCAGGTGCTAAGAGCTCCCTCCTCCATGTCATTGGCTCAGGTGTACATTGCTCAGTACCCGTCGCTCTTATTATGACTTGCTGCCCAGTTGATTCTGATTCAGGGAGACCCATGTGTGCAGAGCAGAACTGTTGCTGGGGTTTCATAGCTCTTTCCCTTGGAGGCCTTTCCCTAGGGCTTCTGAGGAGATGTGAACTACCAACCTTCCGGTTGGTTAGTAGTTCTTTGCTTAACCTTTTGTGCGACCCAGGGATTTCCCCCCTAGTTTCTATGCATGCCACCAAGTTGATTTAAGCTCATAGGGATGCCACGTGACACAGTAGCACTCTCTCGTATTGAATATCATATGGACTGACAAAAGAACAAGTATGTGTTGGAGAAAGTGCAACCAGAGGGCTTCCTTGGAGGCACTGATGCTGAAGCTTTATCTCACATATTTTGGGTATATTTTAGGAAGAGCTGGTCCTTAAACAAGGACACAATTCTAGGGAAGGAGGAGGGTCAGTGAAAGAAAGGAAGACCCTTAGTGGGATGGGTTGACATAGTGACTGTAAAAATGGACTTAACGTCTATCAGAGATGATGAAGATAGCACAAGATAGGACACTTTTCAGATCCATTGTTCCTAGGGTGGTTATCAGTCAGCCAACTCAGCATCACTTAACAACGACAATTCTTTAGGGAGAAGTTTGTCAAGCCTTTAACCTAAGGAGCAGCTGATATTATTGTTGTTGTTGTGTGCTGTCGATTTGCCTGCGACTCATAGCGACCCTATGTACAACAGCCCTAAACTCTGCTCTGTCAATTGCACTGTCTCTGACACACCCATCCCAATTACCCCAGTCACCGAATCAATCCACCTCATAGAGGACCTTCCTCTCCTGCGCTGTCCCTCCACCCTCCCAAGCATGATGTCCTTCTCCAAGGACCGGTCCCTCCTTACAACACGTCCAAAGTATGTCAGACGGGGCCTCAGAATCCTTGCCTCCAACGAGCAGCCTGGTTTTAAGCCTTTTCAGGATGAATCTGTTTGTTTTCCTAGCAGTCCATGGTATATTCAAGACTCTTCTCCAGCACCATAGCTCAAAGGCATCAATTCTCCTTCTATCCTCCTTAGTCATCGTCTAACTCTCTGATGCATAAATCCAGCTTCCCTTCTGAGCCAAAGGCACAGACCAGTCAAGATTGTTCTGAACCAGTGACTCTAACAGAAAAATATGATTATTTTTGCTTTAAATGCAAATCCACTCTGGTCCCAGGATCATTTTCTACCTGACATATGTCTATAAAAGCAATGCCTTATGTTGGAAGAGAACAGGAACAAATCATCAGTGTGGTTGCCAAAATATTTGGTTCATTTAGGTAGTGTTTACAGTATTTTTAAGTGGGGGGGGGGGAAAGTCTATTAAGATGAGAAAACATCCTTGTCTTTCTAGACGCCCAGACATAGTGCCGTCATCAGCTCTGTGATGTTTTTAAAGCGCTATGCTAGGGAACACGGAAGTCAGTAAGTTAGACACAGCTTCCATTCCTTAAGGTCCCTAGTGGGTGGCACATCCATTATGCAAGAGCCACACAAATAAAACCTATATAATTATGGTTGTGATAAGAGCCAAGGAGGAAGTCAGAGCATGTGGCCGACCAAAACAGGGAGACCCATCTGAGCTTTGCTTTTAAAGAGAACTCTCCCTCCCCCTCCCTCCCCCTAAGATTTTCTGTGACCCACAATGACATAAAAGCAATCCAATGTGGTGAAATGACCTCAGCCGTGAACCAGAGAGTGATTAAATGAGACACTTCAGAGAGACACTCTTTACTTTCTTGGCGATGGACAGAGACCGATGCTTGTTTTTCTAACTGGCTAAGGGAAGTCATGTCCTCCCCAGTCTTCTAACTCTCTTCTGAGTAAAGACTTGGCTCCGTTAAGTAGCCAGATAATGTTCAAAATAATCGGACTTGTCCATGTCGTCACCACGTCAATGAATGGTGACCCCATGACTGTTAGAGTAGAGCTGTACCTGCTGGGTTTTCAAGGGCTGATTTTTTGGAGGTGGATTGCCAGGACTTTCTTCCAAGGCACCTCTTTTGTAGTCAATGACTTGACTACCAGCCATTTGATTGGCAGCCACGCATGTTAATCACGGTGCTCTGCAGGGACTCCCTGCATGTACATTTTTGGTAGTTGCCACTGAGCATCAGCTACAACTCAAAATAACCCCATGAATAACAGATCTTGTCTTATCCTGTGCTACCTTTCATGCTCTCTGCCAAGTTCAAGACCATCATTGCAATCAGTCCATCCCATTGAAAGTCTTCCGCTCTTTGTTGACCCCAATATGATGTGTTTTCCAAAGACTGACACTTCCTGACACTATGCCTTGAGTATGTAAGACAACGTTTCACCGCCCTGGTCTTTACGGAGCACCCAGGCTCGTTCCTCCAAAAGGGCTTTGTTCATTCTCTTGGCAGTCCATGGAATGTTCACTACTCTTTGCCGGCACTGCAATTCAAAGACATCACTTCTTCTTTGGTTTTCCCTGTTCATTATTCATATTTCACATGCAGATGACACAGCAGAAAATACCTTGGCTTAAGTAAGGAACATCTGGGTCTTGAAATGACTGGGTATTGAATGAATACAAAGAGTCGGGACTTAAGATGTTTAAATTGCAGTATAACAGTCACCACCAAGCAGCCCTTGGACACAATAAAAAGCTAAGCAAACCGATACACCCTACTCCAAATGGTTACATGTTGTTGTTAAGTGCCATCGAGTCGCAGGCGACTCATAGCAACCCTATGAAGGTTCATAGGGTTTCTGGAGGCAAGCTATTATAGAAGTGGATGCCACTCCTCCTTCTAAACTTGTTTTAATCTGGGAGCTCCACCCCACTCTCTGTCCGCACTGGGTAGCCAATCAACGCATTTGACGCACCGGTGTCACGGTGTTCAGCCTCACAGCGACCCCGAGTGAAAAGTGGAATGCCAAGGAAGTATGTTCGGTTTTGAGTGCAGATTTGTGTGTTTTGGTAGGAAATCATCTAGACAGTTGCCAGGAGCTGCTTCTAAGAACCTAACCTTGGAGAAGCTCTTCAAGCTGGCAGAGAAAGGAGAGCTCCCAGGGTTCAGAGACACAGCACTCTGCTGCTCAGCTCCAGGGTGAACCTGACCTTCCACCTTGCAGCTCCGCCCTGTGACTCAGCTAGAAGCTGATGCTGGTCTTGAAATTTGGTTGTTTTTTTTTTTTTTAATGTGTTCTTCATTTTTCACAGTGTGGCTCTCTCCCTGTCAACTTGGGGCATTAGTCCAGTTGTTGGAAATGCCTGAAGGCTGGATCTCACTGTCCATTCACCCATCCATTCAGTCACAGCTCTCCTCCTCAAGAGTAACAGCAGACGCTCAGTCTTCACCCTGGCTTCCCCCTCCCGTCTCTCAATCCATTGACCATGCTTGTAGATCAAGCGAAACCACGCTCACGCTTAGTCCTCACTTCATCTGGGCATTGAAGAGAATACGTGCAGTTATATAGCTTTGAATACAAATCCACTGTGAACCCAGGATCCTTTTCTGTCTGAAACACCAGCAGAAGCAGTGACTTCTCTTCTGTTGAGTGAGAAAGGACCCACTAAGGAGTTGGTTATTTGTTACTATGCTTGGCTGCTAATCTTCAGGTTGCAAGTTTGAGCCCAGCCAGAGGTGCAAAGCCTGGTGATTCAATCTCAGACCTTGGCGTGGATGGATATCAGCCTCCATTGGTGGGGCTGAAGAGGGTGGAGCAGTGAGGGGACATTCGACTTCTCTGTAGGCAAAGTTATGCCATGCAGGCAGGATTTCTAGTTTTCAAATAGACCCTGGACCTGTAATGAGTCAGTGAAAACAGTTAATGGTCTTTGCTTCTTTTTCTTTTTAACAGAAACAAACCATCACGACTGTCAAAAAAGAGGTAATTTTTTTTAAAAAAAAGGAGGTACTAAGCCTCCTCATTTCCAGCCAAGTTTGACCCTTCATTTCCTAACATAACGACTTCAGTGGGGTGGTCTGCTTTCTGTAAGGAAATGAAAAGTCTATGAAATGTTCATATAGTTGTTGCCGAACTGGTTGGACAGACCTGTTAGATCTGGTTGGGGATGGCGGGAGGAGGCCCAGAACAAGAAGCACCAATAGGAAGCATCCGTAAGACACAGAGGGACCTTCTGGAGAAGCTGTCCTGTTCGAGGACACCTTGGATCTGGGAACTGAGACAGAACCTGGGGAGTGTGGGTTCTAGAGGTGGGGACTGCTGGTGGGTGTCTGACTATGGGTGTTGGGGTTGAGGAGGGGGGTGGCTTGGCTCTTGCAGGACCAGGACGGTTGAGGATGCCGTTTGTGGTGGGGTCTACTCTGTTCCGTCAGTCACAGACACATGGGAAAAAAGCCGCACACCTGCCCCCATTTCTGGCTTAGTGCTTGTTGTTGGCCAGTTCTGTCCAGCCAATTCCAGCCCCAGGTGTGTCGGAACAGCACTGGGTTCCACAGGGTCTCAGTCGCTGCGTTTTCACAAGCAGACCACCACGTCTGTCTTCTACGGTGGCTCTGAGTGAATCCAAGACATGCTTAGTGGTGGCCGTGCAGGGACTCCTAAATGTTCACGAGGGCTTGTGCTTCTGGCTGGTGTCCTCCCAGACTGTCACGTAGTGGTTAAGGAGGCCTCTAACTTGGAGTGTGGGATTCTCTTCTCTAAAGTTTTCTGGGCCCTGTTGATACTGAGGTGGTTACTTGAGGGACTGGGAGAGAGCATTGGCATGGTTAGACGGCCTCTGACTTTATAATCTAGGTAAATATCAGCGTCCTGGGCCCTTGAGGGTGGGGAATTTGGACATCTTTTAACGATGCTGTCCCTTCCAGATCATGTATTACCAGCAAGCCTTGATGAGGTCCACGGTGAAGTCCTCGGTGTCCCTTGGAGGGTACGTCCCTAATTTCTTGGTCCTGCTGAGGTTTGAGGAGTAAGTAAGCACAGAGGAAGTCTTTTGACACAAGGCAGACCCGATGAGGCGAGGACTTACTTAAGTCATCAAGGCCAAAACCTGTCTCTTGTGCACGTGGCCTCTGGGTCGCCCCACAGTATGAGTCTCCTCATGGATGAGACAAGAACCAGGGTGGGTGAGTTACTAGATAAGCTTGTCCTCTGTGTGGGAGTTTGCTTATGTGGATGGGTAGGGAGGTGGAGTCCACAGGTTGGATCCTCCATGGGCCCGAGATGGTCCTGTGCTGTCATTAACTATTCTCTTTTATTAGGGATTTCTGGGTTAGGTTTCCTGGCTCAGTGTTCTGTTAAGTGTTCATTGCAAATCTTGAATTCAAAAGCCAATTAGGATAAATTGGAAATCGTTAAGAAATCTGGTGGCAGAGTGTGTCAGGCTGCTGAGTGAGAGGCTGGAAGTTTGAATTCTCAAGGGAAAGAGGGATAATCTCCTTCCATAAAGATTCATAGCCTTGGGGACCCATTGGAAGGTTGTTATATGTTAGAATGAACTTGACAGCAGGAAGTTGGGTTTGGTTTCTGGTTTACTTCTGATTTTTTTTTTTTTTAACTCCCAAGCTTCCTTGATCCAAATTGGACATTATTTGGTAGATACTTCTTTGAGTTTTAAAGATTCATGTAGCTAGGGGAGCTCTGGTGGCCTAGTGGCAAGAAGCTGCAACTATAATCCCAGAGGCGCACGGTTTGAATCCACCAGATGCTCTGCCGGGGAAGGAGGGACAATCTCCTCCTGTACCAGTCAGATCTGATTTGACGGTATACTCACACAAAAATAATAAAAATAATAAAAAAATCTTAAAAAAAAAAGATTCATGTAGCTGCTGTCAGGGACCTCTCCAGAGTACTAAGAAGCAATGATGTCAGTCTAGAGACTAAGGTGTGCCTGATCTAGACCACGGTCTTCACAGCTGCTTCCTATATATCAGAGGGCTAGACATTGACTAAGGAGGAGAGAAGAAGAATTGATGCCTTTGAGTTGTGATGTTGGAGAAGAGTATTGAACATGCCAAGGACAGCCAAGGAAATAAATAAGTCTGTCTTGGGAGAGGGTGAAACCAAGTTGCTCCTTGGAGACAGGGATTTTGACTCTCTGTCTTACATACTTTGGGCATGTAGCCAGGAGGGAGCAGTCCTTGGAGAATGACATCATGCTTGGAAGGGTAAAGGGAGAGCTCAGGAGAGGAAGACCCTGGACGAGATGAATTGATACAATAATTGGGGTAATGGAGGAAGGTGTGTCAGAGTCAGAGATTGGCTCAGGATAGGGCAGAGCTTTTGTGCATAAGGTCACTATGAGTCACAGACAATTTAAGGGCACATAACAACAGTATATGGGTCAGTTGGAACTGACCCATCGCTGACCTTCCAGCGGGTTTTCAGAGGCAATACATCACATGGAAGGAGATTGCCCATCCTTTGCCTGCAGAGCAGCTGGTGGGTTTGAACCACACTCCTTTGGAATTGTGGCTCAGCTTCTTATCACTAGTCTTCTAAAGACTCATAGTGAAATGTCAAAATTCCATATTTTAATGAAATTGGTTCAAAGAAATTGCAAAGAGACTGGACTGAGAGATAATATTTAGTTTCTCAAGTAGAACAGGGATGCAAACTCCGGGCTTTCTGGACTCTGACTCGTTTTGGGACCCTTTGGTAAAGAGAGAACGGTCTTCAGGATCCCCTGGTGGTAAATCTTTACCGAAGCAGACGGCTGCGTCTTTCTCTCACAAGAGGCTGGTTGCCCCCACTGCTTACCTTTCCCTTAGCAGCTCAACACTCTAACCACTGTGTCACCAGATCTCCTCAAATAAGACCTTATCTTGTCAAATACCCAAGAAACCCAAGGGCTAGTACAATGTATTTCTAAGAAGATAGTTGTAACAATGGAGCTGAATCAATAAAGGAAAAGAGTAAGATGGTGAATCGATCTAGTTGTTGAGTCAGTCCCTGAGTATTGATGTGGTCCCTCAGTGTTGTTTAGGTCTATGTGTGTTGATTCAGTCTCTGGGTGTTGATTCAGTGTCTGTACATTGACTCTGTCTGTGCATTGATTTGGTCCCTGGGTGTTGAGTAGGAGTCTAGATGTTGAGTTGGTGTCTGGGTGTTGAGTTGGTCTCTGGATGTTGATTTGGTATCTGGGTGTTATTTAGGTCTCTGGGTGTTGCGTCAGTGTCTGGGTGTTGTTTAGGTCTCTGGGTGTTGATTTGATGTCTGGGTGTTGCATCAGTGTCTGGGTGTTGTTTAGGTCTCTGGGTGTTGAGTCGGTGTCTGGGTGTTGATTCGATGTCTGGGTGTTGTTTAGGTCTCTGGGTGTTGATTTGATGTCTGAGTGTTGTGTCAGTGTCTGGGTGTTATTTAGGTCTCTGGGTGTTGATTTGATGTCTGAGTGTTGTGTCAGTGTCTGGGTGTTGTTTAGGTCTCTGGGTGTGTTGAGTTGGTGTCTGGGTGTTGAGTTGATGTCTGGGTGCTGAATTGGTGTCTGGGTGTTGATTTGGTCCCTGAGTGTTGTTTACATCTGTGGGTGTTGATTTGATGTCCGGGTGTTGCGCCAGTAGTGTCTGGGTGCTGTTTTGGTCCCTGGGTGTTGTTTACGTCTCTTAAGTGTTGAGTCGGGGTCTGGGTGTGGTTTAGGTCTCTGGGTATTGAGTCGGTGTCTGGGTGTTGTTTCGGTGTCTGGGTGTTGACCTTCTAAGAGGTGACTTTCCGTCTGCTTTTCAGGATTGTCAAGTACAGTGAGCAGTTCTCCTCCAATGACGCCATCATGTCCGGCTGCCTCCCCAGCAACCCCTGGATCACAGATGACACTCAGTTCTGGGACTTAAATGCCAAATTGTAGGTATTCAATGTATGGGTTTCTTTTTAATTTTTTTATTTTAATCTTATTATTTTTGTGTGTGTACCGTTGAATCAGATCTAACTAGTACAGGAGGAGATTGCCCCTCCTTCTCCAGCAGAGCATCTGGTAGATTTGAACCTCAAGATTGCAGCACAGCTTCTTGCCACTAGGCCACCAGAGCTCCCTAATGTTTGGCTTGCTTTAAGCTGCATTGTTGAGCTATCATTTATATGCCATTCAGTTCACCCATAGAAAGCGGTCTCAGCAACTGTCCAAACCGAAAGCTGTGCATCTAGAACACATGTTGCTTATTCATTCATCGGCTGATGGATGTCGCGTTGACTTGACCTTTGACACTGTGAGTGGTTCTGCTGGGTACGCTGTGCACAGGGTTTTGTGTGGATATGAAGATTCACTGAAACAAGACCCCATGCTTAACAAAGCAGCAGGTCAGTGAAGGAGAAGACCTTCAGTGAAATGGACTGACAAGCGATCACCTCAACGGGCTTGAGCACAGTGGACACGACGAGGATGCTCCGGATTGGGCAGGTTCCGCCCTGCTGCTCAGGGAGGGGCTACAAGTCATAGTCAACCTGATAGCATCTAACCACCTCCACCACCAGCACCACCTCCACCTCCACCACCAGCACCACCTCCACCACCAGCACCACCTCCACCAC